AGACACTCAGCCAGTTTCCTAGTTAAACGAAGCCGCGTTCTCCTCTCTCGGCTTTTAGAATAGCAGCATCTGAGCAGACTGCCGGGGGGGGGGGGTGGGGGGACCTGCTCTAAAACCAGGGACAGGCGGCCGAGGCCCCGGTGCTCCAGGCAGCGCCCCACGGCCCGCTCACCAGTGCTCGGCGCCGCTGTTCTTGGTCTGCTCGGCTTCCTGTAAGTGCCGAGTGGCCGCGGCAGCCAGGGCGGCTGCGCTCTCGCCCTGGAAATCCGTGGCCACGGCCTGGGGAGACAGGAGACGGGCTCATGCGTGTCTGTGCAAGCAAACCCGCTTTCGCTGCAAATGCGATTGCGCTGAATGGTCAGTCTTCACACACAGGCGTCCCCGAGGTGTCCTGGACACACCCCAGGTGCAGGCCTGAGGGGACAGGGTGGCGTCTGTGGCTGCAGGGCCGCCCTGGGAAAGGCTCACCTGCTATGGGGCTTGGTGTGACCTTTCTCAGGTGCCCAGAAAACTAAAGGGTGAGGAGAATTCACCAACCAGGGGGACAACCCTCCCACTCAGCAGAGGCAGCTTCGCAGATCGGGGGCCTAGAGACCCCGAGCCCTCGTCAGAGCCGGAGACGAGGGGCAGCTGCCGGGGCTGTCCCCACCTCCTAACCTCACTGCCCGGCCTCTGACCGTCGAGAGCCCGCTGAGCGGATGGGTCGGAAATGTCCTGCTGACCCAGCAGCAATGACCTGGGAATTCCTGACCCTCCAACTTCACCTGAGATCCTCCCTCGTTACCCCGACACCTGGATAGAGCCGCCCACCCTCTGCCTGCTGGGTGGGGCGTCTCTCCGAGCCGAGGACCTCGAAGCTGCCGCTGCGTCGGGCAGCCCTTACCAGCAGCAGGTCCTGCTCCACGAACTGCTGGGGGTTGGCCGTCCACACTTTGATCTGAAGGACCAGGAGGGAGGTCGCTGGGAGGCTGCCACCCGGCCACACGCTCCCTCTTCCCACCGCACTCGGGGGGACCTCGGCCCTTTGCTCCCTCTTCCCACCGCACTCGGGGGGACCTCGGCCCTTTGCTCTCTTGAATAAAAGCCCAGCATCAAGGCGCTTCTCTTTGGTGTGAGAAGCCTGAGAGGTCATCAGCGAAGGCAACGCCCTTGAGGGACACTTGCTTCAGACCGGCAGGCCACCAGCTCTGCCTGTCAATCAGCTGTTACCCTTTAAAAAAATCCTCACCTGAGGATGTTCACTGATTTTAGGGGGGCAGAGAAAAACAGTGATGCCGGAGAGAAGTGTCGATTGGTTGCCTCTCCTACGTGCCCTAACCAGGTCCGAACCCGCAGCCTGGAGCCGTGCTGACGGGAATGGAGCGCGTGGCCTCGTGGTGCGTACGACGGTGGCCCCACCGAGCCGTACGGGCAGGGCCCTGCTCCGCGTTCAGAAGAGACCAGACCTGACGGGGTTTCATGCGAAGGTGATGTCGATGCTGGTGGCTGACATGAGTCATATGCTTGTGTCTTAAGTGCTCTGTTGTCTAATGGTGACCTCGTCTCTGTTTACAGAGAAGGGGGGGTCCTTCCGGCGAGGGCCTGGGTCGGGTCCTGCAGGGCCCAGGCCCCGTGGCCAGGCCGCAGGGAGGAGGTACTCCCCTCGTGTCTATTTCAGAAGCACGCGGGCACCAGGCCCCTGGCTCCTGGCGGCTCACCTGCTCCTCGGTGATCTGCATGTACAGCAGGATGTAGTAGGTCAGCTCCGGCAGGGCTTTCCGGACCGTGCTTTTGAACTTGCTGTTCTCCAGCAGCGCGTGGACAAACTCGAAAATGCTGAAGACGAGGTTTTCAAAGCCCAGGACTTCGCCTGCAGGAAGCGCAGAGACAACTGAGTGACAAGAGCGTGAAGGACAGGACGTAGTGGGAATAAATAACATGATCTGTGACACTGACGCTATTCACGTGACTTGGAATACCGCTCGCCAGGGAATGGCCGGGGGACAGTAGTCTATTCCCCAGCAGGTGTGTTCTGACCTGAAGGAAAGTGTCAGCCCCCGGGGCCGAGCCCAGACAGACAGAATGCCGGAGTGGCCGGGCTGGCGGGCCTGGGAGCACCGTGTCCAGTCCAGGCCCCTGACCGTGAGACTCGGGCCGCGCCCTGCTCCCACCCAGCACAGTGAAGGGAAACCGGACCGGAGAACTCGCTGAGGAGCCTCCCGTGGCCGCTTTCCTGCAGCAGCCACAGCACGCACCGTCCGAGTCCACAGGGTCCTCCACCTCCTCCGTGTAGTTGACCTCTGTCCTCACGTAAGTATGACGGAGAGTAAAGGAGTACAATCTGCCCCACACACGCTCTACAGGGAGGGTGGGCGCCAGGGGAGACAGGCTAACACCAGAGCAGGGACCTGGCGAGCCGCCACCGCGGGCCGCCCAGCCCGGAAGGATATAAGGCCGCGCTCTCGGTCAGGGTGTTCCAGACGATGGGCAGGATCTGCTGCATGGAGGACACCATGTGCTTGGGGAAGTTCTTCACCAGGGCGGTCACCGCCTGTGCAGGGAGACCACAGCAGAGGTCAGGGGCAGGCGCCCTCAAGCCCCGGGCTCCCCGGCGCCGCTGCCCACCTTGAGGACTTCCATCTTAAAGCCGCTGTCGGACGTGGGCCCGTCGGGGATCTGCAGGGCCTGCACGAAGGCCTCGGTGAACTGCTGCACCACCGGGAAGATGAGGACTTTGGCTGCACCCTGAGGCCAGAGAGCGAAGTCAGCAGCGACGCGGCCCATCGGGGGCCGGGCCCCAGCCACCAGCCCTCGAGGCTCCTGAGATCCTCAGGCTCCGGGCCAATCCCACGCCTAAGTCCCTGGTGGGCTCCTCCCTGCGCGTGGCCTCCTCGAAGCCGCTACACCAGACCCGCTTTCCGAGCCGCCTCTGAACCCAGGGTCGGCGTTCCCAGCGAGTCTCCCACACGAGGCCGGGACGCACCAGTGAGCTCTGGGCGCTCGGTGAGCAGGAGCAGGACAAGGTGTTGGAAGAAATAAGGCTCAAACAGGACACTGAGCCACCCACGCCTGACAATTACCCGGAGTCCAGTGTCCCCGCTCCCCGGGCCGTGTGCCGTCTGCAGAGCTCGCTGCCCGCAATGGGGCACCCACCGTGAGCCCAGGGCTCCCGTACCTTTTCCAGCTCCTCCATGTTGCAGATCATGTGGGCACACGTGGTGAAAATCTCCACAGCGCGGGAGCGGGTCCGGATGCCGTACACCTGGGAAAGGCACAGACAGCGTGATGCCGTGAGACTGGACTGGAAGGAAAGCTGACCCCTCAATCCCGACGTGACGGGGCTCCCTGGGACAGATCCTGCCATTCAGGGAATGCAAGGCACAGAAGCTGGGACTCGCTGGAATGAGCCTTCATGCTCACAGCCCTCGCAGGCGACCTGATGGGAAACACGGGGCCTGGCACTGCCTGCACACCCGGCACACGGACGTGTGCGCACAGGCTGCAGGCCCTCGGTGGGGACAGAGCAGGAGGCGGGGGCAGCACCAACCCCAGGCTGCTGTGTGACTGGACGAGCTCCGTTCACACTTGTTAGCATGTCTACGTGAGGGACATGAACTCCTCTGTGAGCACCACAGCGACAGCTGCCCTCAGTGCCCAGCGGAGCGAGCTCGGGTGCGAGCCTCGGCGAGGCGGGAGGAGCGGTCAGCCCGGGACTTCGGGCCACAGGGTGCAGGGTCTTTATCAAGGTGAGCGGTCTAGACAAGGATCGCGGTCACTCTATCTCACGTTGGGGACGGGCAGCAAACACGGGCTCCCACCGGGAGGGGAGGCTGTGCGGCCTGCAGCCCGGCTCTGGGGCCTGGGCGGGGCCCTCGTACCTCGGCCATGGTGAAGATCTTGAACATCTCGGGGAGGATGACGGGGGCGACGAGGGGCATCTGTGTGTCCGTGACTTCCCGCGTGAATTCTACAAGGAAACAAGGAGTCCAGTCTGCGTGGTACAGACAGTGCGTGGGAAGACGCCACACTGCCTCCAGCGGCAGCGCCCCAGCAGGAGGAACAGGCACCGACACCGGCCTGCTGGCCTGTCCGGGAGGAAGGAGTGAACAAGTCAGAGATAGAGGAGGAGACAGGAGGTCAGGAAAGAAACCTTCAATAGGCCCCGAGGAAAGTCTGACAGAAGCGGGTGAAGCTGGTGAGGCCGCCGTCGGAAAACGTGTCAATGTTCAGGTGCACGTCAAGGTGTCTCCCCTTTGGTCCCAGTCCCCACACTCCCCGGCGAGCTGTCCTGATGCACATAGTGAGCTCACGAGGCTCCACCTCCGTTCTCCACGCCCCTCTCCCAGGGAACGGCACCTACTGACCTAGAAGCGCGAGCCTGCTGCCCACGGCACAGACAACGTGCCCAACGCAGCCGACTGGCGGACTGAGACCCGAAGGTGAGGGGAGTGTGGGCCATGCCTCTCCCTTTAACGTCCAACACCCCCACGAGGCACCGAGCGAGCACCCCTCAGGCAAGAGGGAGACCCCCACCTCTCCCTGGACCAGAAGTGCAAGCATTTCGTTCTGCTGGACTGTTCTTACCTCTGTCCTGGCTGAACTACGACCAAACCCTATGTAATGAAGATGCTGACAACATGACGGCCGAACTGACGAGTGCTCACCCCAGTGACTGAACCGAATGCTTCAGAGATGAGCTCATGTAAATGGCTCGAAACGCCACTGAGGCAGGGACGATCTTAGTTTTACACACACGGAACCCAGACCCCAGGCAAAGCCAGAACATGATCTGAATCAAGTGCTTAACCACCCGCTGCAGCCCGGCCTTGGGCGTGAGGGTTCGAGCAGCAGATGCCACACCAACTGAATTCCCTGCAGAGAGCAGACGGGGCGGGAGGGGCCGTAGCCCAGCGGGCGTCACACAGGCCACGTCCTGCTGCTCAGAGCCCCCACCACAGCGCCCGGTGAAGACGACGGCCCGGCCCGAGGGAGCAGGGTCCACGCCAGCAAGGGCTCCTCACCTGTCAGCACGCGCATGGCTCCGTGGACGGCGTTCAGGTCTCCGCTCACCAGCATCTCCATGAGCAGGTTGAAGAGCTGGGGCCAGGCTTCCGGCCAGTCCCAGTGGGCGATGGCCGACACGGCGTAGGCCACGCTGGAGCGCACCTTGCTGATGGACTCCCTCAGCCCGCTGGGCAGCAGCTCCCGGATGAAGATCTTTGCCTGCGGAGGAAGCCGCCCGCCCTCAGACCAGCTGGGCGTGGTCAGCAGAGTCCCACCAGCTTCCGTGTTCGCCAGACCCTGCACGCGAGACACTAACCGTCTCTAGTTCCTCGGAGTGTGACCCTGACCTACAGTCCACTCCCACTCCCCACGGCCCCAACCCCAGGCAGCTAGCACCGCAGCCCGGCTCCGCGGCCAGACATTCACTGAATCACAACGAATAAACGGAACCCCGTCCCCGCCGCAGGGCACGCAGTGCTCGGCACCCAGGCCCGCAGCCACCATCTGCCGGGAGCCCTGCCCTGGGGACAGCCAGCGCCTCAGGGCTTCCCAGGGGCCCAGGACGGCTGCACAGCTCTGCACCCAACAGAAATGTCACTCCATTTCCTCCTCAAACAGCTCTGGGAAGTTGGAGCTTAGAAGAAAAACACGACAGACCGGGGCCTGACGCCGTCGGCCTGCCCACCCGGGCAGTGTGTCCACAGCGTCAGCCACCCGCCCGCCTCCTCGGCCCAGCCCTCCGGCCCTCCTGCTGTCCGGGCAGACTGACCCTTTCCGTGGTTTCTGGAGGCCTGAACTTCTCCGAGTGGGCACACCAGTGCGTCTCCACGTACTGCTTCAGAATGACCGACGCCAGCTGTGCAGAGAACAAGCCGTGTCCACAGCAAGAAAAGGCTTTTTCCACACGTAAACACTCCATGCACCCGGCCCGGTCCGTTCACCCGAGACAGCTACCTCTGGTACCAAGACCCAGGTCACTTACAAACAAACTGGCTTTACGCTTCCTCTTTCCCACAACCAAGCTTCATGACCAAGTACAGGGAGTTCCTTATAAATCGGACCCATCAGGCTGGACGTACCTGACGAATGGCCAGGGCCCCCTGGGGGTCCACGGTCAGCTCCGCCAGGTGGACACCAAATTCTGGAAGAGAGAGCGGCCGTGAGTCCAAGAGGGCAGGAGCGCCGCAGCGACTACTGAGCAAGAAGCCAGGTGCCAGCAGGGAAGGCCTCCGACAGGAGCCTGCTCCACCGAAGCACTGATGACGCCAAGATGGACCCTCCGGGGGGCGGCGGGGGGCCCGTAGGGAAGTCCCAGCACCAGGTCCCCTTCTCCATCACCACAGGCGCCTTCCGCCCCTCCCTTCCCAGACGGTAGCGCCTTCCTCTGGAACCAGTGACGGAAGCGGAACTAACCGAAACCTGTACCATCTGACCCCACAGAAAAAGTGGGCTTGCAGGAGCTGCTCAGATACGCACCACCAGACAGGAGACGATGCTCAGTCTAAGGAAAGCTGGCGTTCGCAGGCTCAGTCCCTCAGCACAACTGCTGAAGTTAACAGTTGTCAATGAGCAATGAAAGCAGTAATCTTGATATGCATTTGGGAGGCTAAACAGCTTTACTCCCAAAATAAAATTCAGATCCTTCAATGCAACCCCCATAAAGGTTTTTTGTTTGTTTGTTCGTTTGCAGAAATAGAAAAATCCATCCTAAAATTAATCTGGAATCTCAAGGGAGCACAAAAGACCAAAAGAAGACCAAAGCTGGAGCACTCACACTTCCTGATTTCCAAACTTACCACAAACCTACAGTGACCAAAACAGGAGGTTCTGGCAGAAAGACAGAAAGACAGACACACAGACCAAGGGGACAGAACAGAGAGCCGCATCCATGGTCATGTGACTTCTGATGGGGCACCCAGTCTGTCCGATGGGAAAGGACAGTCTTTTCAACAAATGATGCTGGACACTGGGTTCCCCAGACAAAAATGAGCTCACGGTCCTAGACCCAGAGAAAGCACAGGGAAGAACTTCACGGCACTGGGTTTGCAATGATGTCCTGTATCACCTGCCTGTCGAATAAGGTGGAATTAGAAAACGCTCTAAAGAGCACCTGCCTTTTACTGTTGCTCTATCGGGGTACAGCAACATTCCCGCACACCCTGCTACCAAACCCCAATCCCAACCCCCTCGGAAAGGGCGGAGGACTCGGCCCCCCGACTTCAGTGCCGGGCGCTGCAGCGAGGGAGGGGGCGCAGCCTGAGGTGCCGGGGCCTCTCCTCCGGTGAACCCTAAAATGCTGCGCTTTCCCTCAGACGCCAGTGACAGCGAGGATGGCAACACAGGACAGGACGCCATTCCCGGACCCAGGCCCAGGACGCAGCCACCTGGGTTCCTGGGAAGGGGGAGCCGGCGAGTCTCTCACATCCTCCTCCTCCTCCTCCTCCTCCTCCTCCTCCTCCTCCTCCTCCTCCTCCTCCTCCTCGGCTGAGAGGACGGGCTCCATTCTGGAAACGACGTCGCAGGCAAGGCCTTTCCTGGATCCACCAGTGGCCGCCTACATGGCCAGGTGTACTTTGGCTCCAGCAACCTCCATTTCTAACATAACTGCTTCTTAAAATCTCCTCCACCCTGAACCCCTCAGACACGCCATGCTTTCTCGTCTGTCCATTTAACAGGGAGCTGTCAGCTGACCTTTGCCCTTTCCCCAAATCCCATTAGAGATTCTCCCACTTCATCTCCAAGCCTGGGGGTCACCGCCTGGCAGCCCAGGCAGGTGGCCACCTGTCCGCCTTAGGACGGACCAGCCTCCCGCGTGCGGCTCTAACAAACGGCTCACGGACGGGTGGGAGGGACCAGGACGGGGCTGCCACCGACCTGGAGCCCAGGCGCTCCAACCATCACCGCACGAGGAGCAGACACGCTCCCGATCCCCTCCACTTCAAGTCCCGGGGAAGCCTGTTCCTAGGACCAGAAGGCAAGGCCTTTCCTATGAGCATAAAACTACAACGGGAAGCAACTCAAAGCAGCGAGAATGACGTGCTCATTCATCGGCCTGCCCGGCGGATGCATCCAGCGCAAAGCTGGGCGATAGCTGGGACCCCGGAGCTGCACCCGCACGCGAAGGCGGGAAGGAACCACCGACCGTGTCACGGACAGAAGGTAAGACGGGAGGCACTCTGCACCCAAAGGCCAGGGGAGGCCAGGAGAGAAGGGGGACTGTCTCGGAGGACGCGCCATCCTCCATGGAAACTAGGCCACCACGGGGTGTGTTTCCATGGTTCCCAGATAAACTCAGGGAGCGGGCGATTTAAACCCACACACAGCCTCCCAAAGGCCACATCAGCGCGTTCAGCTGGAGACGGGACCCAGGACCACGTCTGCACCAGGCCCCACACCTGCCGCCAGCAGCCACAGCTCTACCTGTCTGACAGTGACCATCTGAATAAGCGTTTGCAATGGCATGCTGGTATCAATGGGGTTGAGATTATGTCCCCCATACCACAGTGAGTGAGCATTGTCTTACTGACAATAAGATCCCTATGCCTTCCAGGGTTTAAAGGCTTCAAATGTTTTTTCCACTGCTTCTAGATAATAGCTAAAGATCCATCGAGAAGTCTACAGGACCCCCTGTTCCCGGGATGTTACTCCGACCCAACCTCTCTTGTCTCATCTGAATACTGCCCTTTCTGCTTTCCGCTTGGCACCCAAATCTGGATATGGCATTTCGTGATCTGCAGGTCTTCCCCTCGCACAACAGGGACGTTTGACTATGGCTTCTATCCTGCCTT